GGGAACTTAGTGTTTACCCTCAAACAAATCCTCCATTATCTTATCTTTATCACAAGATTAACAGAAGTTTATAGGTAGTAAAATACAAAGGCTGTGAATGGATGTTAACAAGTCTTAGTAAAGAACTGACCTTGATTTTATGCTCCATGCTTTATTACATGTGGCTATATTTAGTACTACGTAGTTTTACCAATAGGAAGGGTGGGTACATTAAACATACTTTCCACAATGCCCCACTGCAAAGTAAAAACACGCAAGCTCACAAGAATCCCGATCTGCACCAGGTCAATTTAACTGGAATGACAGTAAAATGAACCTGCAAGTTATCCCTTCAGAGCTGCTTCCTCTGCCTTTCAGGGCTCCACTTGATAGGACTGGGGCCTTGATTACTAATTTGGAGGAAAAATCTAGTTTAGTGCCTTGCTGTTCCCATGAGTGACCTTGATCTTAGTGCTTCCGTTTTTCCAATTCTGCCTACTCTTCTCAGTGTGCCTGTGAAAGGCAGCTGTGGCAAAGAAGTTTCCACTGAAACTACTCGTTCCCAACTTCTCTCCCTGTGGTACACTCTGGGTTACAAGTTGCTATTTTAAAATCCTCAAAAATGATCTTAAGTGAAACTACCTCTATAGGACAGGAAAGATTTTTTTTAATTAGTTCAAATTAGAGAAATGACAGTGGAACATCTTCTGGGATCCCTCAGATAAGATACCCAAACTAATATGAAGTAGGCAGGTCACTTCCCTGCCTCAGGTAGAAGCAGGAGACATTGACAAATTCTCACACTAATTTGGAAGCAGAGGAAAGTAAAAGGTTGAATAGGAGCCTGTGACTTGAGTGAAAGCCAAACCCTTAATGTTAACACAGCTGTTAGTTGTCAATCCTGCTTCAAAACTAAGAACTTGTATCATTCCAGAATTGATTCATAGTTTATAGCCAAAAGGGACCATCACATCATTTAATCTGATCTACAAATACCAGTCCATACAATTTTACCCAGTTATCTTGGCATCGAGCTCAATAACTTGCATGCGACTAAAGCATACCTTACGGAAAGGCATTCGGTCTTGATTTGGAGACACGGAGATAGAGAATCAAATGCTTCCCACTGGGAGTTGGCTTTAATGGCTCATCTCCCCTGCTCTTAAAGCTGTACTGAATATGAATTTGCTTGGTTTCAGCTTCCAGCCATTTGACTGAATTCTTATTCTCAAATATTTAAAAATGTGAGGCACACCTTTCCCTTAGAAAGGAATAGGATATAAACCTTTTATTGTTTCAGCTTTGTCAGAGTTTGTTACTGAAGGGCATTTATTTGTAAACTTGGTTTACGTTAGAAACTACAGATGCTAAGAGATTTTCTGCAGAATAGCAAAAAATGCTATTCCAGAATCAATGCACTCTCATGTCTTCAAGTAGTACATCATCTCTGCACAAGTATCTTCTAAAATTACAATCACTGAGAACCTTCGCCACCTCGTCTTCCTGAACTCCTAGTCCTGATTTCATGCCAAGCCTTCACCAGTGGTTCCCTGTTCTTCCATATGAGTTCATGGCCATAAATTGCATACCACCTGACAACAACAAAAACAAATCTTCAATTGAAGTTCCATCCTGAAAACATCTGAATTTGCAGAATAAGGGAGACACTGAAGGATGATAAATGGTACAACTTTACATAGAGCAATAAATGGAACAAGCCAGAAGAGGCTGTACTTGGCAGGATTAGCCTAGATTTTTAAGAAGGTATTTGATAACAATTTCAAAGAAAATATTGATGATTTAAGTAGGCTTTCAGGGTCATTTAGCCTTAATAACATTTCTCTATATCTAAATATGCTCCTATTCTGTTAAACAGTAGATAGCTCCTCAAAATTCTGTGATCTCCAACCAAAAAAGGATGCAAGAAATGTTACACCCCATTTAATAGGAAGTCAGAGTGCAATTCTATCTGCTTAGTCCAATGCCTGCTAAGTACGTTGCCACAGAAGTGTTTCCTGTTAGGCAAGTGACCCAGGAAAAAAACCCTAGAAGGTAGCAGCTCCATTCCGCATGAATGATCTCTTGTAAGTGACCAGCAGAATTAATCCACTGGAAGTAAGGTTGCTGGTATCGCACACGTTCATAGACATCCTGAAAAACTTCAGGACCAGAGTTTATAGTAAGTTTAGTAACCATGAAAAGACTGCACTAATTAAGGTCAGGCATAAAGTACTTTCACAATCATCCTAATGTACTTTATTAATAAACCTGCACATGGACTTCTGTATCAGATCTTGGCTTCTGCTGCACAGACCAGCAGTCATGCCAAGCCATGTAGTGGCTTTCTGAAGTGAACAATTTTCTACAAGGGAATATGCACACAGCACTGCACAAGTTTTCAGATTGTATGGTTAAAAGAACTGAACTGGTAAGTTACACACCTAGTGGGTGTGTTTGTGTGGAGAGCAGCAGGGATCCAGGTTTTCTGTTTGTTGCAAAAAACGCAGATTTTCCTCTTTAACAGAGGAAAACGCGGGAAACTACAGGTTTTCCCCTTGCAGGCTGGCAGAGTTCCATACATGCACATGGCAGCCAGGCAGCAGTGGAGAGCAGCTCCCTCCAGGCAAATCTATGGGGGCAGGGCACACAGGCAATGCATTGTGGGGGAGGAGGAGCACAGGCAATACAGTGGGAGGAGCACATGCCCCCCAAGACTTCCACGCACACAGCGAGGCAGTACTCGGCGTAGGAGGGAGCGCCGTCCTGCCATAGCCACCAAGGTGAGGTGCCCCCTACACACTTGACAGCGGTGGGGGCACAACTCTGCTCCACCGCTGCGCCTCACAGCCATGGCAGCACAGTGCTCCCTCCTGTGCCAGGTCCTGCCCACTGAGCCATGGGGATGGCTGCAGCCCCGCACCCCTCTGGATACAGTAATCTGGGGGGAGGCATGTTCCCCTTCTCCCCCCAAATCATTACCTATGCCCCCTTGCTCCCCAGATGCATTGCCTGTGCCCCTCCCACACTTTCCCTGTGCCCGCACACATCCACCCCCTTCCTCAAACACTGGGGGGCTGGGGCCTGGGGGCAACAGGTCAAGAATGAGGAGCACCAGCAGGGCCAGGAGCCTGTGGGTTGGGAGTGAGGGGTACTGCGAGTCAAAAACGAGAGGCAACAGTAGAGGCAGGGGCAGCATAACGGCATATTGGGGCTGTTCAGCACCACAAAGCAGTGAGGGGCACAGCCACAGCTGCACCTGCATCCTGGTGAACAAAAGGGGCAAGGGGAGCTCTGATTTTCCATGATAAAAAAACCAAAATCAAATGCCAAAATATATAGGTGTTTAGAATTTATTTTATTATAATGTTTGAGGCGCTGGTAGGCTTCCAAATTGCTTTAAAATTGTAAACAGATCAATACAACATTGTGTTCCAGCTGATATCTATACATACTGTGGTGTTTCATTTTAATCACAGAAAAGCATATATATATATATATATCAGAATTTGGGATTTTTTTAATCAGAGCATTTGGGATTTTTAAACAGATAAAACCAGGATCCCTGGTGAGCAGTAAGGAGGGAGGGAGTGGGTCATTCCATATTCTGCTCAAACAATTTACTGAAGTCGCTTCAACTATCCTGCTGTCCCCCAGGCATCATGTCAGAGATCTCTCTGTGATACCTGTATTACAATGAATAGCTGATAAACATATTAATGTTGCAGCATTATCACAAAGTGACAACCCAACAAATATGCTGATGATTTAAGATATGGGGAAGCAAGGAGATAAGACAGCTCAAATTTGCCGAAGTTAAGGAATCAAATAAATGGAAAAGTGGGGGCTAAGCTCAGATGGAGGTAGAGGTGGAATAAGTAAGTGCTTTGTTCAGATGCTGTGAGTTATAAGACTAGCCATATACAAGTAAAATGTAGTATTGCTACTTACAGTGCAATCAGGTACAGATAGGGACCTACCTAAATCATGACATAAGTTTGTTAACAGCAGCAGCACCTTTAACCCTGTTCTTTCCATTGCGCACCCCTCCTGCTGAGTGGCTCAGAGGCAATTCGTGCTGGTGTTTTTGCCTCTCGGCCACTCAACAGCAAGAGGAGGCATGCAGCAAAAAGAGCGATGTTAAAGGTGCTGCTGTGTCGCAAACTTCTGCCACGATACAGGTAGGTCCTAGGTGTAAAGCATGAGACGGTGAGTGGGAAGGAAGGATTGTTTCTAAGGTCCTAGAGGACTGAAGATGCTCTGAGCAATTTAGACATACTACCTGCTGGGTATACTTTTGCAGCATCCGATGAGTTCTTCACACTTTATCTAGCTATACTAAGTATCAAGTAGACTTGTTTTACATGTAATAAGGCTCTTGCTGTTAAGTGTGTAAATCAGGCAATGCCATAGACCAAGCCAAAAAAAGGTACTGACTCAGTTAATCTAGTTCAAGGTCTCACAATGTAGAACTGTTTCCCACAAAACTTTTTCTAGCGCTTCTCCCAAGTTAGGCAGAACCCCTGAAGGCTTTACACGGGAAGACAAAGCAGCAAAACTGAAACACATTAGCAGTAACCATTGGTAGGGATTAGACCTAGACTCCTACTTGCTCAGTGGCTCCCTAAATTAACAATTAAACATGGAGATATGGGAAGTCATCTTGGCTGTGCACAGAAAAAGATATTTTCACTATTCCAGCATGTGCTCTATTAGTATCCTTTGCGCACAGGGAAGCAAATGATGGGGAAAGTTAGCCCAAGCTACAATGTCACTGCAAACAGGATATGGGGAAGGTTCATATAGGTTCACAAGGGTTCTAAATTGTCCTTCTGTACATAGCTATATGACGTCACAAACCAGTTATGGATATTCCAGGAAGAAATTTCAGTTCTGGTAAGATAAACACAATTTTACTACTTAAAAATCATTTTAGTAGTCCACGCACAAGTGGGAAAGATAAAGAAACAGCATAGGAAGAATTTACATGTGAAAAAAGGAATAATTTAAAAATAAATACTTACACACCAAACAATGCTCCCCCAAGATGTGCTGCATGGTCAAAAAGTCTCCAGCCCAGAACAAGCCCTGCAGTATCCATTGCAATAACGGCTTTTAAAGCCTAAAGGGGAAAAATATATATATAAATATATATATATTAGGGGGCGGGGTGCGCAGGGGGGCTCCCCCGCATGCTTCCCAGCAGACCCGGAAGTGGACCGAAGTACTTCTGATCCACTTCTGGGTTTGCTGCCAGGCACACTGGGGAGCCCCTCCCCGCCATGCTCCTAGCCTCGGTGGCTGGTTCCTCCTGGGTCAGAGGGGGGCGGGGAGAGGACACGGACACCTGGGGTTCCCCTGCATATCTACCATATGGTATTAATCTACCATAATAAAGTGCACTTCAATGTTGCACCAAAAAGATGACCCCTGCATTAAAGTAGGAGTCAAAGTACATATCAATGAGTTTCCAAACAAAGAAGTGTTTTATTATCAAGGTAGAAAATTGAAGCTCTTTCATTTGTTCCTAGAAGATGACCTTAACCATTGCCCCAGTGATTTATCTCTATTGCTAGACATTCTAAGCAGCAGCACCCACAGGTAATCATGTTAGGAGCAACTGTTTCTAAAGCAATGGGGTTAGTAAAAAATTTTGCTGGTTAGGAGAATTACCTCAAACTGGCTTACGCAGTTTACCTTATGGTACCTGATGTTTACTACTCATCCTCCTTCTGTGCGAGTTACTTTTCCTTTAGAGCAGCATGAAATAAGTGGCTAATTCCTACAGTTTAGTCCATAACAGAGCTATATACTATGTGACAGCCTTGAATGACAGTGCAATCCAGTAACACATGCACACAGCTCAGTTTTATTTCCTAAAGCGACTGAATCCTTGGGCTCCCCTCCAAATATTTCCTCCTGCTTTAAAAATGTAGTGTAACACACATTGGGGCAAATCTAGAAATTAAACTCTCAAGTTAAAAAAACAACCTAGATGTCTGACTCTTGATTGCTGTGAACCTTCTGTAGTATAACACCAGCACAGAATAAACACTACCATATCAGTAACCCTTTTTACATGCTTTTCATATTGGTGTAAATGACCGCACTAGGCTAGAAGCAACTTAAAACTAGGCCCCAGGACATCAAGCCATGATGTTTTTCTACTTCAATATAAAAGAGAGATAAGAAATTCTGCTGAAGAACATATGTTCCACTACTACTGACACGTAGGGAAAATATTTCAACTATATGATTGTTGTGAAGTTCAAAGGCACTTACATTTCCTGCTGTAAATGTGAACATTGGAAGAAATACGATGGCTAGTTGTACTTCTGGCATCTTTGTACATACTGCAGCAAGCACAGTCATTATTGCTCCTGACTGTAAATACATTAAAATACATGTGAGATGTGACATTACACAAGGGATTTTTTTTTCTGAGAGCGAATCTATTTTGCCTGTCACTTTCCTTTTTAGATGCAGGCTTGTCACAAGTCTCACAGCACAAAGCAGTACAGTTAGTTTAGGAGAGAAATAAATCAAGAAACCTTTGATTTCTTTCATTATCTGGACCTACAGTAATTATTCTCTTACCGTCGAACCTCTAACAGACCAGATAGAAACCAACTGTGTAACCTTTTAAGGAAATATGCCATTAAGATACTATAAAAATTGATCAATACCGTTCCTTGAATCCCGATGAGCTTAAAAAAGCTCCTCTAACACTGCTGAAATATAACCACACCTGAGATGAAGACAACCAGTTTAAAGTAGGCTGCATAATGGAAGGAGATTGTATCACTAGCCACAGAATCATGGACCAAACTTTGCTCTTTACAGAACATGTACTAGACTCTTCCATGATCTATGTATGGAGAAGACCTGGTTTTACAAAGTCCCAGCAACAAGGCCCTGGTTGAAGTAAACCTGTGTTTAAATGTGTGAGGCAACATCATCAACTTTTTAAAGAAAAGTGAAAGATTCTTAGTATCAGATATAAATGATTAACAGGGTAACTGTTTGGTATGACACTGACTGAAATTCCATCTGTGAACTCTAGTAACCCTATAATTTCAAAAAGCAAAACCTTAGTTTTCTTAAACCTAAAAAGTGTGATTTATTATAGCCTTAAAGATACATAAGGCTTGATCCAGTAGCAAATAACACTTTTTGGAAGACAACTGCCTTAATACCTCTTAGTGATTTGCTTGCTGGCCCAGCAGAAAATGAAAAGACTGCATCTGCTATCTTCAGCAGTTCTGTGGATTTAGAGTTTTGGCAACAGTTCTAATTTTTGAGGAAGGCAGGATGAAGGTAGAAAATTCCCTATGGCCTTCACTAGCAACTCATGTTAATTTCCACCAACTCTGATTATATGATCTGTTCATAAAGCAGATTTTTCAATTAGAGCATAATTATGCATTGACAGCTTTATGAAATAACATTTGTAAATTTGCAAGTTCAGTTCTACAACTGTTTAAAGACAAGAGGTCCTGCTGCTAAGCACTTGTTTACAACATTGTAGCATTTAGTAGCAAGTGACTAGAAGTTAAAGGAATATGGGGAATGCCCAGGTCTTGCCTAAGAACAACTGGCAACTCCACTAACCTTAGCCTGCCTTCCCTGAATATTCCTGACTTTGAAGCAAGGTGAATACCGTGCTTTGTAACTATTTTTGGAGATGCAACAAGCTATACAGGGTTTTAATTTTCTTAAGTACTTTACTCACTGCTCCAAGGGATGGGTCAAATCTTCCAGTGACCATTTTACTGACATAACTGACAAAAGAGGAGAAAACACCTAAAAAGGTAAAGTTCCTATTAGAAACACTGCCAGTCACACAAGACGAAGTCAGAAGTCAACATGCTGTATCTCAGAAAAATATTCAAACTAGCTAGCATGGTAACATTTTTAAGAGGATTTGATGTGGAAACTTAGAGCAGCTGTACTTCTCCCCCCCCCCCAGCATCTCTGGTCTGCCTCACAAAAGTACATTAAAAGCTCTGTATTTTATGAACTAACTACAATTTTAAATGCAACAATTGCACCTTGCTATCATAAAACCAAATAATCTAAAGCAGGAGCACGTGCCAGAATGTGGCACACAAAGGCATTTTGCTTGGCACTTGCATCTCAGAGAAGGGGCCGGGGCTGTGCTGCCACAACAAGGATCGGGCCCCTTGCAGCTCCCCTGCCATGCACTCCTGGCACACCAATATCTGGTAAGTTGAAGTTGTGGCTGTTTTTGGCACACTGCCCAAAAACACTGCAGACTCCTGGTCTAAAGCAAAGGTTCTTAAAATGTTTAGGTTTGAGGCACCCTGTGTTAAACTTGAGGTGCTCCTCATCAGATTTGAAGCTCCCCTGAGAAAATACCAGCCCTTAGTTTTGACTCGGTTTTTGAGTGCTGTAAAACAATGGAGCAATTTTTCTTTTCCATAGAAATCAGAAAGATCACAATAGGTCAGAATAATTTTAATGCTATTAATTCCTATTTGAAGTTTCTGGGTTTAAACCGTGAATCATGTTTGCAAACCTAACAGCATTAACACTGCATGGCACCCCACAGCACCCCTGAAAGGATCTCAAGGCACCCCAGGGTGCCATGGCACTCTGGTTGAGAATCACTGGTCTAAAGTGCTGAAAGTTCTGTATAGTAGCAATTAACAGAATAAGCATGAACAATGTGTCCATAGCCATCGCATACATTCTTTAATCTTCCTCCCACTTCCTACCCCCACAGATATGTTTACACCATTTCTTTTTATAATTATATTTATATAAAAAGCACAATTTACCTGCAGAAAGGTACACTGCCATGAACTGCTCCTGTCCCCAAAAAGACACACTACTAGATGAAAAAGTCCACAAAACATACATGTTTAATGCCAGGTGCCAGGCAGAGAAATGACTAAATGAAGACAGAAGCAAGGGAGCACAAATGATTCCTAAAAGAAGAAAAATAATAGTTAATGAAAAGAAAATAAAGCATGTTTTAGCATTTCTTTTAATTAGCACATGATTTATGGCATGTCTAATTTAATGACACTTATTAAGAAAAATATGCAGAGTAGCTATTCTTAGACTACTTAACATTTTTATAAACATGCATGGACACACACACTCATACACACTTCTATACATATTAAAAGCAGGGGAGAGCAATGCAATGAATGCTAGATTCAGTGTAATAATGCTGAAAAGAAATAGTACATTAAATATTTTCTTAATTGCCCACAATTAGAGATTTTGGGTTTGTTTTTTTTTAAATAGCCTCCACCATTCTTCAGAATAGAAAAGACATTTTTTCTATATCTTGCCTAACAATTACTCCTTAGGCTGAGGTACAAAAATAACTTAAAGGGTACAAATTACTCCTTAGACCAAGGTACAAAAGAGAACTATTTGTTGCAATGGTAGCCTTGAAAGCAGATACTAACTGGTTTAAGAGCCAACATTTTTTAAAGGACCATAAAAGAGCTGAGTGCCTAATTCCCACTGAAAATCAGAGTTGGGTGCCTAACTCCCTTAAGGTTTGGAAACCTTTGCCAAAGGGCACAAGCATCTGAGTTTCACTCCTGCACCAAGAGTAAGGGAGCCTGGCGGTTCTCTTCCCATAGCACTCCTCTCTCTACCTTACTTCTCTCCCTGATGGATAAAGAACCCAGCAGCTTATTTCTTTCTACTCTAGTGAATGGCTTTTATCAGTTATCATTTTCAAGACTATTTTACAATAAATGACAGCTGAAATTCTCTTTCACATGGTCCAAAGACCAGTTTCTCCAAGTGAAGAACTGTGCAAACCCTTTCCACTCACAGTTGGGTATATGACTAACTAACATTTGTCTAGAGATAAGTGAATTCACACAATTCTGCATGTGACAGTAAACATTTTACCTGCATTCATGCCCGTAATTTCTCTGCACAGGAAATATTAACATTAAAAAAATAAGGAACACCTTCAAGACAGCTTTTTACTGGTGTTCCACAAAATTAATTTTTTCCCCTTCTCCCCAAAAGACCAAGAAAATGAATATTAAATTCTAGGACAGGACTCCAGTATGAAAGAACAATCCACCTCACCTCCCGCACAACTCTTTACAAGGACAGAAGTCGTTCCATTTTAGCGTAAGTAATTTTCAAAATAGTGGACCATAACATTTTGATATTATGATACCAAAATAAACTCTCATTGGTTATCCAAGTTTCTCAAATGGAGTAGTTACCATTTATATCTCTTTCCATGATTTCCAGAGGCACTGAACTTATCTGTTTGAGATAGTCAGCACACTTTCTTATGGATTCATCACAGCAAGCAATATAGGCATCTTAAACTCGCTTCAAGAAAACTTTTAACATATCATCATATAGTCTATCTGTACAAAAATCATGTTACATTACTATTGACTTACTACAGGCAGGAGTAGATGTGAAATATGTAGACATAATCCGCTGCATAGCAGGTATTTTCCATAAACAGAATACAAAGATGTTTGCAGCTATAATACCTAAGAAAAGATTCAATAAAGAAACCAAGTATAAATGCAATATTCAAGAATGCATGATAGAAAAGTACTTCAGACTTTCAAAATTTTGCTTATAAGATCCAATAGTTTTCTTTACTACTCCCATAAATTAAATGCTATTTTAAGTTACTAAAGTATGATGGATATTAAAACAACTAAAGCCCTGGCCTTTAGATCATTACATTTATACAATGAAAGTCTTTTAGAGATGCCACATTATGTCTAAACAAATTTAATGCTCCTTTAAAACACAGAGTTTACAAAAAATACCCTCTAGTGATTCACTTCCAAGAAATCTGAATTAAGTTAACTTAGGTCCTTATAATTTACAAGTAATTTTTTTAACTTATTGAACCTATTCTGATTGAACCTGACGTGGGCAGTGGGGTCACCCAGGGCTCAGTCCTCAGGCCCACACTGTTCAACGTCTTCATTGGCGACTTGGATGAGGGGGTGAAAAGCACCTTGTTCAAGTTCGCAGGTGACACTAAGATGTGGGGAAAAGTGAGCACGCTAGAAGAGAAGGACAGGCTACAACTAGATCTGGACAGGTTACAGGGGTGGGCGGATGAGAACAGGATGGGTTTCAGTACAGACAAGTGCAAGGTGTTGCACCTGGGGAGGAAGAACCAGCAGCATACCTACAGGCTGGGGAACTTCCTTCTTGTCAACACAGAGGCAGGAAAGGATCTTGGTGTCATTATTGATTCCAAGATGAACATGGGCCGACAGTGTGGGGACACAGTCAAAAAGGCTAACCACACTTTGTCATGCATCCATAGGTGCTTCACAAGCAGGCCCAAAGAGGTGATCCTCCCCCTCTATGCGCACTGGTCAGGCCACAGTTGGAGTACTGCGTCCAGTTCTGGGCGCCGCGCTTCAGGAGGGATGTGGACAGCATGGAGAGGGTCCAGAGGAGGGCCACTCGCATGATCAGAGGGCAACAGGGTAGGCCCTATGAGGAGACACTACAGGACCTGAACCTGGTCAGCCTCCACAAGAGAAAGCTGAGAGGAGATCTGGTGGCCGCCTACAAACTTGCCAAGGGGGACCAGCAGGCAATGGGAGAGTCCCTGTTCCCCCGAGTACTACCGGGAGTAACAAGGAATAACGGCCATAAACTGACTGAGAGTAGATTCAGGCTGGACATCAAGAGGCACTACTTCACAGTCAGGGCGGCTAGGAGCTGGAACCAACTTCCAAGGGAGGTGTTGCTTGCCCCTACCCTGGGGGTCTTCAAAAGAAGGCTAGACAATCACCTAGCCGGGGTCGTTTGACCCCAGCATCCTTTCCTGCCCATGGCAGGGGGTCAGACTTGATGATCTGCTTAGGTCCCTTCTAACCCTACCAACTATGAAACTATGATTTAAATGAAAAACTAAATAGCTGGAAGCAGACTGATGGAAGTTTAAGTCCTTGATGTGTCCAAGTGTCTTTTAGTGAACTAAAATATGACTCCAGCTCTGGTGACCACAGATCTTTTAAAACTTCAAAAGGTTAAGTATTTGGAGCAGGGGGAGAAGATAATTGCATTTTCCTTCTAGAAGTTTAAGTTCTTTGTTTTCATGAACAATTTGAAAGGTTCAGGATATATTTAAAAAGGCATTGAAGGGCCCCCCTTTCCTCACCAGATATTTTTTAGCTGAAATTCTCCATTTAGAATCAGTATAATCTGCTTTCTCTGAGCTGCTTATAGTTTTGACAGCCTGTCCTATTCTATGCTGCTTTCTTATTAAAAGGTTTTCTCTACGTGCTTAACAAAAGAAGCTGCAGAAGCCCTTGGCAAGTGATTTTTAGTACAATAATTCCAACCCTGTACTGGCCAGCAGGTGAAACACAGCTATATTTGAAAGTTTTCAACGTCTACTAGTTAATTAACATTTATACTGCCTGTTAACTATATGCTGGGAGATTAAACATGAAAACTACAGAGATTAATAATCTACCTGACTTTCCAGCTATAGTATTGAGTAGGAATATAAATACCTGGACTAGACATTAGAAGCAGTCCAAAATACTGGATCAAACCAGCTAACTGAACCCAACAACCAGTTGGTTAGTTTATAAAATGCAGCTATAGTCCTTGTCATTTAGTGCATTTTATTTTTAGACTGTGACCAATCTTTTGAAGAGAATTAGAAAAATGGCTTAAGACAACTGAAATATTTTCCTGAAAGATTCCTGTATTTTTCTATAGAATCATTATGATAAATGGGGAGTCTAATTTCTTAGGCTCCAATACAATTAAAATAAATCTGTTCACATATTCAGTAATGTTTTATATACAGTGTAGCTAACACTATGTATTTTATATTAATTTCTTTGGATGTAGACTCTCTCATTTACTTTTTTCTCTTGAAGATGATTATCTACTTGATTTAAGTCCAAATATCATGAGGATTTCAATAACTCTATACTAAGCAGCCTTCACATAATCATCTTAAAGAATAGTGTAAATATAGGTGCACTGTGTAACACAATCCGATAAACAAAGATAGCCAGAGTTTGTAACACTGTATGCAGAGTAACAATTTATAAGTGTGCAGGGGTGTAGGTTGTAGCCATGTTGGTCTAAGGACATAGGCAGACAAGGTTCCTTGGGTGAATTTGATATCTTTTATTAGACCAACCCAAATAGTTGGAGAATAGTTATTAAGCAAGCTTTTGGGTTCAAAAACCCTTCGTCAGGCTAAGGAAGTTTCAGCACTTGGTGTGTGCCCTTCCTGGATGGAATGAAAAGGAAAGAAGCCAGGGGCTGGGCTGGGCTGGGCTGGGAAGTCAGTTGCCAGGCAGATTATAATGTATCAAAAATCCAATGTCTATGTTTATGAAATGGAGCTCATGGGCTCCTCTCTGGGAAGTGTTGTGTAAGTTTCCCTTGAGGATCAGGACTGAGATTGGAGAGAGGGTAGCCCTCCTGTGAGAAATGTGCCCCCACCGGTAATTGGGTATTTTTGTCTTTGAGACAGATTTCCGGTGTGCGTTCATTCTGGCGCGCAGTTGTTGTTTGGTCTCTCCTACATGTTTTCCATCAGGGCATTTGGTGCATTGGATGAGGTGTATTACATTTCTGGAGGTGCAGCTGTAATATCCTGGGATGCTGATGGCTCTGTTGTGGGGTGTAGTAATAGTGGGGGTGGTGGAGATGTGTTGGCAGGTTTTGCATTTCTTGTCCTGGCACGATCTGGATCCTTTTGGTGTGTTCTGGGCTTGAGGAAGTTTGCTTCTGGTGATGAGGTCGGCGAGGTTCGGTGCTTGTTTGAAGGCTAGGATGGGGGGCTCTTGGAAGATCTTTATAAGAAGTTTTACTAGTTCTTCACGTGGTATCTGGGTGGCTCTTTCTCACAGGAGGGCCACTCTCTCTCCAATCTCTCAGTCCTGATCCTCAAGGGAAACTTACACAACACTTCCCAGAGACGAGCCTATGAACTCCATTTCATCAACCTCCTGGATACTAGAGATCATGGACTAAACATAGACATTGGATTTTTGACACATTATAATCTGCCTGGCAACTGACTCCCCAGCCCAGCCCAGCCCCTGGCTTCTTTCCTTTTCATTCCATCCAGGAAGAGCACACACCAACTGCTGAAACTTCCTTAGCCCAACAAAGGGTTTTTGAACCCGAAAGCTTGCTTAATAACTATTCTCCAACTATTTGGGTTGGTCTAATAAAAGATATCAAATTCACCCAAGCAACCTTGTCTGTCATTTTATAAGTGTTGCATTTATGTTTCAGCACATCACTGAAAGATTACAATAGGAAGTTTCTTCTGGTTTTGATGGATAAAACTGCATGTTTCTTGTTGGACGATAAAATGTTTCAGAAAAAAATATTTGTGTAATATTGTGTATTTTCCCCTAAAATTCAGAACAAATTTACATCTTGCAAGAAAGCTGAGAAACTTGAAGGACAACTAATAATATTCAACAGTCTTTTTAAGTTTCTGGCAGTGGCATACATTTTTAAATAAATAGTAAGAGATTTGCTCTCTGAAAGATGCTACCAGTTCACATGCCCAAATTCTGCTTGCATACAAGTGGCAGAAGGCAGATTTTAGAAAACACTGTCTGACATCTCCCACAAGGGAGATGGAGAATTTAAACAAAAATACAAAAGCATGTTCTGTAAGTAGGGAAGCATAGCAGATGCAGGTAGATGAATGAAAACATCTGTATATATACATAGATTTGCTTTGACTAACAATCTAATCATGGTACAAAAGCCATCTATTGTGACATACTGTACCTGTTTGCCATATTCCTTTTCCTTTGAATGTCTAATACTTGTAAGCTAACACAAACCTGTCACAGTCCGCTGACCCTCACTCAGGCTATTCCACCACTTGTTAACCTGAAACAAAATAAGTGGCATTCACTGACCTCCCCACAAAATATCCAGCATCTCAGAAATCAAAATGAAAAATTCACAGCTCTCAATTAAAGAAAAAAAAGACAATGCATTTCAGATTTGTATTTGTTATAGCGCTAGCTTTCCTGTTAAAGATACCTTTTCCTTCTTGAATAATTGAGGTTTTCTCCTATCCTATGGCAGACAAAGGGGCAGGAGTCAGATGGTGCAAATAGGCATCATTCGACCCAAGTAATGAAGGTACATCTGTTTACACCAAAGAGGAGCTACTTATTTTTGTTCATCAGCCCTAGTTCTATTGTAGACTTCCCTGCTTAAGACTCTTTCCTGGGTGGGGGGAGGTGGAAGGACTGAGGACATATGCCCCCCAGATATGTGCGCGGGGTTGGGGGTGGGCTGCCCACTGCAGGCTCAGGCTCCCTGCTCTGCTGCCCTCCCTCCAGGGCCTCTGGGCCCAGCAGGCGAGATCCGGCACTGCAGAGCAGAGTGGGGCGGGGAAGTTCAGTGCCACCGCCACGTGTCCCAGTGCCCTGCCAAGGTGCCCCTGCCCACCTGGCAGCAGCAGTGGTGTCAACACAGAGTTGTGACCCTCACTGCTGCCAGGTGGGCAGGAGGTACCATGTCACGGAGCTCGGAGCAGCAACAGTGAGCTTCTCCACCTGGCCCTGCTGTGCCGTGCTATGCTGGGTCCCTCCATGCTCTGCTCTGCTGCACCAACTGCTGCCTCCCACAGGTGGCAGCCGGGGCTCTGCTGGATGGGGGCAGGCAGCTCCAGATCCCTGCCCCTGTACCCTTGGCAGCTGGGAGCCCCCTCCAGCAGGGCTGGGGGGCTGTGGGTCAGGAGCGAGGAGCAATGGTATGAGCAGGGCGCCAGCTGCTCAGCACCACAAAGTAGTGTGGAGCAGGGACAGTCACAGCTGGACCCACATCCCGGTGTGCGAAGGAGACAGGGGAAGCTCTGATTTTCAAAGATGAAACACCCAAAATCAAACGCCAAAATGCACAGGTATTTAGAATTTATTTTATTATAGTGATTGAGGCACTGGTCAGCTTCCAAACTGCTTTAAAATTGTAACTATATTAATAAAACGTGTTCTACTGATACTTATATTAAGTGGCGTTTCATTTTAACCATGGAAAAACATGGATTTTGGGGTTTTTAATTAGGGAATTTACTATTTTTTTCTCAGAGATTTTTTGTTTTTAAACAGAGAAAACCAGGATCCCTGTATATAACTAACTGCAGGTTGATTTCTAATTGGACAGAAAGTAACAAAATGCAGTTGCAGCTAGCGAGTAGTTCAAGTCACTGTTCCATCTCTTTCCAAAAATTTTCAAATTGTTTGGCACAAGACCTACAGATATCCTCACTGGTATTTGCTTCTTAATATGTCCATTATGTAAGCATGATTTTGTATAATAGAAATATTCTGCCTGCCTTCACTAGCAACTGATGCTGAATTTAAAAGGATACTTATTATCAGACAATGATGGGGGCTGGGGATTGTTTTAAATATGTATTAACAATGAGAATTATTTTGTTTATTTTAGATAATTAGATTTCAGGAGACATTTCCCATCAGACTTGGAAGAACATTAACAGTTTAGCCCTAAACAATCTCTATATATTCTGGGGCAGCTTTGATCTCATCTGTGGTTCACATAAAACACAGATGAAAAAGTTTGCATCTGTGGAGGAATTCCATAGCACATCATGGGGGCAAATGGTTCCTCTGTCTTTTACTAAGTGTGCGGTGCCTGTGCAGCTACATAATCACTAATCAGCCCTACCAAGTCTGGTAAAAATTGACTAGGATTAGGAATCAACTGGCCTGCTATATGCCTGTACACTCATCTCAAATTAAACAAAGCGTCCAGAATTCATGTTTGTATCATAAATGAAAACACTGCAGCAAAGCAATTATGGTCCCTTTGGTCTTGTCAACTCATCACTTTATCATAAATCTTACAGTGTTTGATGTCTTTGTAAAGTCTTGTATTACACACAGGTGTTTATAAAAGATTCTCAGCTTTCATTTAAAAAAGCTTCTAGCCTTCATAGTTGCAGAGAAAAGCATGAATCCTGAGAGCAAGAATCCATTAAGGCTCAAAAAACAAAAGATAAGGAACTCCAAACTTGACTTTTAAAATCTTACTAAAGCCAATCTCATGGCTTTTTGAGGCTTGGAGTCTGGTTTCTGAACACTTAGGTTGGCAATGCTGTCACCTTCTAAAGATGGGGGGAGAGCAGGGAACAGGGAACAAGTGTTTTTTAAAGGTAAGTTATACATACCAGCTGCCATTGGTCTCTCTTCCTTGCTTTTTTAGAGAGAGAGGGGCATCATTTGGTGTCTTTGACAGCAATGCTAAAGTGTTGAGTTTTCATTTGCACTAATATGGAATACTCCAGGTGAGACCTCACCTGGAATACTCTGTTTAGTTTTGGGCACCACCCTTCATGAAAGACATGGACAAATTAGAAAATGTACTGCAGAAAGCAACAAAAATGATTAGATATCTGGGAGGTATCAGTTAGCCTTTAGAAAAAGCTACAAAAACTTTGATCATTTGGCCTGGGAAAGAAGACTGAGGGGGGATTTGGTAAGTCTTCACATACCTGAATAACAGTTAAATGAAGGACAGCAATAACCTATTCTCTGTGACTGCAGGGAACAGAACACAGAGCAATGCTCTCAAATTGCAGCAAGGGAAATTTAGGCTGCAGATTAGTAAGAACTTAAGAACTTTTTCACTATAAGGTGGTCAGACATTCCAGGCTACTCTATCCTTGGAAGTTTTTAAAAGCAGATTAGACAAATGTTTGTCTAGGATGGTTCAGGAAGGAATGATCCTGCCTTCAAGAAGGAGATTGGACGACAACCTCCTGAGGAACTTTTCAGCCCTACTTTTCTAGGGTTTTAAGAAATCAGATTCCTTTTCAATGAGCATATACTTATTACTGTTTTCCAAAATAGCACTAATTGACAAGCTAACATACTTTTCTAAGTGCCAAGAATTTGATGGAATTAAATAAAAAGAAACAGGACAAGTATCTTTTGTTGTCACTTAAACTAAGGGCATTAATATACATGATCACATAAGTCTTCTAGCGCTGTACTGAAATATGCTAAGCATCACGTTGTGCAAGGCATTAAGCATACTGCTGGCATATAACTTGTAACAAATGTGATTTTAAGTACCATAGTCACCACACTGACAAGTTAATATGTCTTAATCCCAGAATCAGTTAATTATAGGTACCTGCTTTCTTAAGTTCCCCTGTTTTTGAGGTCGAAACTTATCCATCCAATCAGCGTGAACATCCCCAAAGTAGCTCTGGACCTTGGATTTCAGGGATTCATACTGCCAAATAGCAGCTGATCCAAACGCACAGCCTGTAAACTATGTAACATTAGATGCATTCAAAAACAGGGTCTTATCTGGAAGACAAATTCTTAAATAATTTAAGCAAAACAGAGTGAGTGCTCTCTTGCCCTTCCTTATTAATACAATGCCAGATTCCAGATTTCCATTCTATGGCAGTACCAGTTGTTTAATGCTTACTATTTAATAACAAGTCTCCTTTTGAGAATTTTTTGCCACATATTTCCGGTTGCTACCTAACTTCTAGTTTGTGGCAGGATCTCACTACTGGCAGCCCACAAAATGTTTTTAGATCTTACTGGAATAGAGGTGAGATACAGCTAAACAGCTCTGTGAAAGAGATGGCTAGCTTTAGAAATGGCAGGCAAGGCCCTGTATTAACTGAAAAAGTACAACATAATTTCAGCAGGTGTTTCCCTGCCCACTGCACAGTACAACTTAGCAATACTCCCAGAAGAAAGCCAGGAATCCCATTGAAAACAGTGGCTTAAAACTAAAAAAAAAAAACCATCCTTTCTGTAGGTAATGCTCTACAAAATGATAAGAAGCTGGTGTTCAGTATTTTGGCTTGCTTCCATGTTTATACCATATTTTAATGGGATTCTCCGCCTTATAATGCAAAACACTTCTTTTGTCACCAGCAGATGTTAGATTAAATCTAGGCTAGGTCTCAGGCATGTAACAAGCTGGCACAATTACCCCAACTGTAAAAAAGAATGGCTTCACTAGTCGCTTTGGAAAAGAGGAAGCTGTATAAGAGACTAGTTCCTCCACTGGAGGAAACAGCTTATTTCGGTATGGCTTGGAGCCCATTCCTTCGTCTGGACTTTGAGGTTTAATCTTCTGCGGTGCTCTTCTAAATCCATTTCTTTGCTGGGTATAAGCAGGAAATCTGGAGAGAAGAAAAGCACAACACAGATGGGATCAACCTTGGCTTGCACAAAACACTCTTCACCCTTCGCCACTGTCTAGATAAGTGATTCTCAAGCAGGCTGCGAGACCCTTTCGAGGGTGTTGTACCACCACTGCTACGTGGAACTGCCCCAGGCACCTCTGTCTCTTGGAGACGCCACGTGGGGCCGGACGGGGAAGCTGCTGCAGCCTGGCCTAAAGGAAGGTCAGACAGAATATCAGGTGCCAGGCGCAAGGAAAATGTCAAGGAGCTATCTACGTTCAACTTGTTTCCAGGCTTGTCCCAGGACTTTTACCATCTGTTAGCTGCAGGCTTGCGAGTATTTCAAGAATAACAACCAAACTCATAGGGCAACAAAACAGTGCCTACTCTGTAACCTAGAGGTGGCCGATAGCACCCACGTGAGCGTTCATCTGCTTGATCATCACGGGGAGTGAAGCTAGGCTATTATTAAATAAAACAAATTGTGGCTTCTCCTATGATTTTGAATACTCACAACCATTACTGCTTTCCTAAGCATGTGTGCCTCACCAAATCTGCAACTCGCACACTGTACTGACTTGCATACCACCCCCTAAATAAGACACATCCTGTGTCTGGGGAAGTCAGAAGGATTTTTGTTGGTTTGTTTTCCTTTTAACCAAAATGTTCAGCATCATTTTCGATTGCTAATTGGGGGCGGGGGTGGCAGGTGAGTAAGGAAGGCCTGGTTGTTCATGCGTTAGCACGGTGTATCTCTACCACTGCCAGAGGCCCGGCTCCAGCACCGTCTGCATCACTACGAGCCGAGTGAGAGCCGAGAGCCGGCATCTCCAGGGGCCCAGGGCCTGTTCCCAGCCTCCCTCGGGGGCGGGAAGAGACGGCTGCTCCGTTCAGAGCCGGCCTGGACAGACCGAGAAGCAGTGCTCCGGCCGGGCTGTGCTGCAGGCCCCGGGGCCGCAGAGAAACTCCCA